AATTGACAAGACAAAGGGATTTAGGCTTGGAGTTGTAAATTAGTGAGAAAGTAACAGGGTCTGTTTATGTGGCCTTTCAGTCCTGAGTTCCCTGTAGCTGGTGGTAAGGATGCCTGTTCAGGGAGGGCCCCTTTCGCAGGGGAGATGTATTTCCAGCTTCTCAAGTAACTTTAGTTCAGAATAATCAATGGCAAAATGGCATGTTTGGGGATGGCATATTCTGCCCGGCTTTGTCCCCAAGTCATTAACTAAATTTTGAGTGTTATTCTTAATCCACTACTTTTCCTCATGCAAACGTCCAACCTGTTAGCCGATCATGTTGAGTCTATCTGGAAGACAAACTTCCAGTTTTTTCTACTCTACCCACTGTTTGGGATATAAGTCACCTCCCATTCAGTGCCTTGTCTGTTCCCTCTGGGCTCCACATCTATCTTCCGTATTTTAAAAGGAAAAACCAGACCCTCTCATCTCATGCCATCTCGGGGCAGCTCACAGCTTCCTACTGTACATCTGCAGGTCTGTCGCTCCCAGAGGGGGTGAAATCCTGCAGACTGGCCCCCCCTCGGCCTCCCGACACTGTCGCTCTCCTCTATCTAAACCCACTCTTTGACCCCAGCCTGACATCTCCAGCTGGACCTCCCTGCTGAGCTCTAACGTGTGCACCTGTGCTGGACCTCCACTCCCGAGGACTGACACCACCAGGCCTGCCCCTGCTGCTGTCTTCCTGCCTCAGTGACTCCAGTTTCCAGTACGCCGGCTGTCCTCCACTCCCTTCCTCCTTTCGTACCCCGCTGCAGCCCAGCAGCAGATCCCCCTTGCTGTAAGTAGGCCACCCTCCACCACGGCCACCCTGGCCTGAGCACCAGCCCTCCTGTACACCTAGGCTCAAGGTGATGCATCTTACCGTCTCCCTGTGCTGACCTCATCCCCTGAATTCCATTCACACAGCAGCCAGAGATCTTTGAACATGAGCCCAGTCACATGAGTCCTCTGCTCAGAATCCTCCAGAGCTCCCCTTCTCACCCAGCTCAAAGCCAAATCCTGTGACCCTCCAGACCCTACCTGAGCCCACTCTGGGCTATGTCTCTGCCCATGTACATTGCTCTACTCGCAGAGCCCACCTAACTGGGCTGGCCCTGGACTCTTCTGAATTTGCTGTTTCTTCCCCCAGACATCTGTGCCGCATATTTCCTGAGGCCTCTGCTCAGGCGGCCCTGACAGGCCTCCTCTGACAGCCCAGGCCGCAGTAGCCAGAGCACAGCCCTCCCTGCCAGGGTCCCTACATCCCTCCATTTCCTATGCCCTCTTTGCTGGAATTCCCCCAGGAGAACAGAGAGTTCCTGAGAGCAGGGACTTAGTGGGGTTCCCAGCTGCCTTGTTTAGTTGTTGCCTATGTGATGGGACACCAGCTCCAATGCGTGTGTGTGCCGTCTTCTCACACCATCGAGCAGTTTTCCCAGACCAGCTGGGTCCTGCCTTTCAACTCAGTTCTGACACTATCCACCTGGAGGTAGTGTCAGACCCCCCCCTCAACATCAAAGGCTCAGTCCCACGTGACTGGCCCCACTTCAGGCAGCAATCCGAAGTCTGGGTTGTCCCTTGTGCTTCTGACCAACCAGCTATAGGTGGGAGTTCCCAATCACCCCCTCCTTGGGTTTGATTAATTTTCTGGAGCAGCTCACAGAACTCAGATGAACATTTTACTTACTGTATTGCAAGTTTATTATAAATAGATATAATTTAGGAATAGCCAGATAGAAGAGAGGCATAGGGCAAAGAACTTGGAAAAAGGTAGAATCTTCCATGTCTTTTCTGAGCCCACAGCTCTCCCAGAATCCCCATGTGTTCCCCAACCAGAATTTCTCCTAACACCATCCTTTTTAGTTTTAATGGCATGAGTAAGTCACCGGCCACTGGGGATTGACTCTACCTCCAGTGCCCACTCCTCCCCAGAAGTCAGGGGGTGGGGCTGCAAGTTCCAAAGCTCTGATCACATGGTCATTCCCCTGGCAACCAGGCTCCTCCTTAGGCGGGTCCAAAAGTCACCTCATTAGCATAAACTCAGGTGGGTTGAAAGAAATTTTATGAATATCAAGACATCTTTATTGTTGTCATCACTTAGATAATTCAAAGGGTTTTAGGAGCTTTGTGCCAGAAATGGGGAGAAAGACCAAATATATATTTCTCATATAAATCACAACATCACACTGCCTTTTCCTACTAGAATGTTAGATCTGGGAGAATACCTCTTGCTGACAATTCTCCCTGGTGTCCCCAGTGACTAGAATATTGCTGGGAACACAAGGTGATGAGTATTTGTTAAAACAGGAAAATTCAAGAGACTTGCCCAGGGTGAGCAGCAGGGTCTCCTTAGGCCTCAGTGGTCTCAAGGGCCAGCCCAGAGTCCTTCTAAGCCTGGCCCTAGCAGGCATTCAGGAGTCTGAGAGTTTGGCTGGCAGAAGACATCCAAGTTCAAAGTCTGTATGGAGCAATCTAAGGAAGGTTCACGTACCACTGCACATGGGTCCAGCAGAAGTGACCCATGAGGTTCACTATCATGCAGAGTGGGAACCTCCCAGGAGGAGGGTAGAGTGGGGCCTTGTGGGAAATACTGAATTTGGTTTGGTGAAGAGCAGGTAGGGAAAGATTCTGAGTTAAGGAGCTGTGGATAAAATGAGAGTTTCTGTGACCAGGATTCTCACCTGGCCATGGTTGATTAGCTCCCTGCACACCTGTGGGCAATACATGGCGGTTGACTATAGAAAGAGCTCCACCCAGTGCTCTGGGCGCGACATGGTGGCAGGGCTGCAAGGCTGCAGGAGAGCAGAGCAGAGGCTGGAGTGGTGGCAGCGCCGAGGACAGAGGCCCAGAGGATGGCTGTGCAGGACGACTGTGCAGAGAGGCCCAGAGGATGGTTGTGTGGGATGGCTGTGGGGACAGAGGGCTGTGCTGGTTCCCCTGAGGGCCTTAAGGGACCTCTGTCTGAGGAGTCAGCCTTTGACTTTGTAAGCAGCACAGGACTCTGGGAAGCTCCAGGGTAAGGAAAACAAATGGGGCAGTCGAGTAACCACTTTGGCAACAGTGTGGACTGGCTGAAGCAAGGAGACTGGGAGGCAGGGAGACCTCTGGGGCAACCCTGGAGATACCTGTGCAGTCGGAGGCATGAGGGACCCAGCCGGCCCTGGGGACTTATGGGTTGGATGATCAGTGATGTCTGATGTCTTAGGAGACCAGGGAGATTGTGGCCCTTCATTTGCTGCTCCTACTCGGTATGGGATTCCATTGGCACACTGAGATCTGACTGCTTTCCCTGAAATGCAGGTATCAGCCAAACCTCTCTCTGATTCCAGCCTCCACACATCAACATAGTACTCCTGGAATGGCAGGCAGACGAGGGGCCTGGAATATACCACGGGTCATTGTTTTTGGACCTGTCACTCTACCCTCCTTATGCCAGATTCTGGTAAATACAGGGGTCTGTGGCAAGGCTCCCTATAGAGATGTAAGACCCTGGCTTGACTGGATGGGCTGTAAGGCAGGTGCAAAAGGTGAAGATAATCCTGAGAGGATCATGGGGAAGAGGTAAGTGATTTGAGCAAAGCTGAGGAATGACCCAAATGAGTTGTGGCCTGCCAATGCTCCAATTTCTAAGTGTATTTACCAAGGATACCTGCCTCTAGGAGAGCCCAGAAATTCCATTCTGCTTTGCCTCTACCCCCTTCCCTACTCCTGCCCAACCCTCAGCTACTTTCAGATTCACTTCTTGGGTGAATGAGACTTTTCCATGACCATCACTGCCTTTCCTTCCTTTCCTAAATAGGGTTTATTTTTAATTGAAGGGAGGAATATTTCACTGCAGCAAAGTCAGGCTTTGGTTTGCATATATTTCCATCTCTTTTCCTCTCCGGTAAACCCTGCAGGCCAAAATATCCCTGAAGCCAGGATCAGCAGAGGCTGCTGAGATGGTCTCTTGGGAGATGATGTGCCGATACAGGAAGAGAAATGAGGGGCTGGCTGCAGGAGGGGAGGCCAGCAGCTTCCCGAGTCCAGATAGGCCATAGCAAAAGTGCTCCTCTCTTGGGCAGAAGACCCCTGCTTCTGTCTCTGTATGTCTCAAGTCACAGCTGTGGTACCTCTAGGGGAGAATCTCACTGCACATGTGTGGACTCCCCAAGGCCTTCTGTCCTGCCTAGCATATTCTGCCACCACCTACCTTTCTCACACTGCTCTCTGATTCCCCATGAATGCTGAGCAGTTTGCCCCAACAGACACTTCTGGCACTTCTGTGACACCCTCCCTGTCCCCTCCCCTCTCCAACAACCGTCTTCGATTCCCTGTCACTGTCTGGGTCATATTAAATATATGCAAACCAAAGCCTGACTTTGCTGCGGAGAGATGTTCCTCTCTTTAGTTAAAAAATAAACCTTATTTTGGAAAGGAAGGAAAGGCAGTGATGGTCATGGAAAAGTCTAGTTCACCCAAGAAGTGAATCTGGAAGCAGCTGGAGGCTGGGCAGGAGAGGGGAAGGGGGTAGACGCAAAGCAGAATGGAATTTCTGGGCTCTCCTAGAGGCAGGTGTCTTCGGTAAATAAACTTAGGTGGTGGCACACCAGTGCTCCGATTTCTATCTGGGTTTTGATTCCAGCTGGTTTTGGGAGCAGGCTGGCCCCGGACTGCCCCGGAGAGCTGCTAGGGGGCTGCGGGGCCTTTCCCCCTCCTGCTGCAGCTACACCTCTCCTACCGGAGGCAGGGCGTGCTTGCAGAGCTCTGGGCCCGAACTGACACTACTAGGACATGAATCGAGGGCGCTCTGTAGAGTTCGCAGCGCTCGCTCTCTTGGCGGCCCGCGCTCCGCGGGGTCCCAGGGCGGGGCGGGGCGGGGACGCCGGCGGGCGCGCGTCCGGAGGCTGGGAGGCTCCGCGCCTGGCCCCGCCCGCGCCCAGCCCCGATCCGGCCGGGCGGCCGGGCGGCCGGCGGGGCGGGGCGGGCGCTCACCGCCTTCTCCGCGCGTCCCGCAGGAGGGGAGACCGCGCCGCCGCGCCCGGGCCGCCGGCGATGATCACCTAGGAGGCGGGCGCGAGCGACGGAGGAGCCGGGCGCGGCGACACGCGGCCATGCAGTGGGAGCCGGCGGCGGCGGAGGAGCCCGGGCCCCCGGGGCGGCGGCGGTGGCGGCAGCGGCGCCGCGAGGGCTGGACGCGCACCGTGCGCTCCAACCTGCTGCCGCCCCCGGGGGTCGAGGACCCTGCGGCGGGTGCGGCCACGGGCGCGCGGCGGCGGCGGCTTCGTGCGGGCGCCCAGCACCTGTCCGACAACCGGCTCAAGACCACCAAGTACACTCTGCTGTCCTTCCTGCCCAAGAACCTGTTCGAGCAGTTCCACCGCCTGGCCAACGTGTACTTCGTCTTCATCGCGCTGCTCAACTTCGTGCCGGCGGTGAACGCCTTCCAGCCGGGGCTGGCGCTGGCCCCCGTGCTCTTCATCCTGGCCGTCACGGCCTTCAAGGACCTGTGGGAGGACTACAGCCGCCACCGCTCTGACCACGAGATCAACCACCTGGGCTGCCTCGTCTTCAGCAGGTGAGCCGGGCGGGCCCGGCGGGGGCGCGCGTCCTGGACATTGGTGTTGGGCGCGGAGTGAGTGGCACCGGGCTGGGTGGCCCAGAGAGGGGCTCGCCGGGGGGCTAAGGGCCCTAGATGCTGGGGCGCGCCCGGGGACCCCGTCCTGACTGAATCGGAATGATCCAGGGGCTGGAATCCAGCGGCCGCTGGGCGTCCTCACCACTGCGCCCTCCTTGTAAGTAAAAAGGAGGGAAATCTGTTCCCAGGCACCCTGGCCTGAAGTCCGTGCCTCAGCCTTTGGCCAGACTGTGGGCCAGGATGTTTAACAACTTTAACAATCCACACAGGAATGTAAAGTTCAGTCTTAAAACATCTCTTCTTGGGACAGAAGTGAAACTGCCGCTAAGTTCTCATGTGCCCGGCACAGACCAGATAGATGAAAGGGCAGGAGGAGTAATAGCCACGTCTCTCCGTTGCTGTGAGTGGGCCACCCAGCTGGGCACCAGCCCATAGTTGACTGTTTAATTATCTTAACATTAATCCAAGTTTCCAGATGGAAAGACTGAAGCTTGGAGGGTTGTCAAGCCCTGCCTGTAGTTTGTTTCAGAGACTCTCCCCCCCCACCGGGTCTTCCTGCTCCTCTCTGCCTGCACCTCTCCCTACCTTTGGACCCTCAGGGTGGACCTGTCTAGGATGACTGCGGTCTTCTCTCCCTTTATAATCCCCACCCCAAGAGAGCTTCTTGCAAATCTGTCTTGGAAATTTTGTCTACTACCTGAGGCCACATCAGGGTCACAAACCTCAGTAAGGCAAGCAGCCTTGACCTCCTTCCAGAGCACAGCCCACCTTTCCCTTCCATTCACCTTGCTTGAGTTCTGGTTTTGGGGCTAATATGGCCCTCCAAGGTGGAGGACATTAGCCTTGTTCAGCCTCCATAGCATGTGAGGGGACTTTTGTGCTCTTAGTGGTAAATTGCTCCCCTAAAAGATGGGGGTCACAGTTATTCCTGCCTTTTAGGATAGCTTAGATGAAGATCACAATGCCTTTGAGTATCTCTGACTCTCCCCTCCCAAAAACACTGGTTGTACTTCATACTTATTTTACAGACCAGTAAACATAGGTTCAGAGAGGTTAAGTAAGTGGTCCAAGTCCACACAGCTGCTATGTAGTAGTATTAGAACTTAACCCAGATCTTCGCAACTCCACAGTTTTTCCAATATTCTGCTGCTTGTGCTTCTTAACTTTATATAGTAATTACTTGGTTAGCTTGTTAAAATCAACAGTTCTCAGGCTCCATCCCCAGTGTTTCTGACCAAGCTCATCTGGGGTTGGGTCCAGGAATCTGAATAATTAACACAGAGGTAATTCTTCTATTATTGGCTGCACTGTGCATAAGCTGCCCTGCTTGCTCTCAAGGGATGCCTACTGTCCAGTTAGCAAGCATGATGTCAGGGGAAAAGGCAGTGAGATTTCCAGGTTCCTGTTCACCAGAAGCCTGAAGCCGAGGCAGAAGGATCTACCGCTTACACAGACGTCCTCAGTGGCCCTGGTGCAAGGACTCCAGCAATCGTAACACTTCTATCACTGAGCCAGGAGCCCCTGTAGCATCCTTTTAAGTAAGTCTTAGGCCTCAAGAAATAGGGTTTATTTTCAGTTAACAAAGTGCTTTCAATCCATTAAGTCATTTGACTCTTATAACAACCATCACCCCCAACATGCAGATGAAAGAACTGAGAGGGGAGCACCCAGGAGTAGTTCTCTGGCCTCCATGACCGTGAGAGGCCTCCTGGGATATTGAAACCTTCGTCTGCTCCTTGGAGCACACCCGTCAGCATTCTCATCCCCTTTGCCTTGACCCAACCTGGATTCTTAAAGCCTCAGCCCAGTCCTCCTGGGCAGGTCCTCCGGACAGTTGTGCTTTCAGGAGAAGCCCCCAGCACCTGCCAGCTCCCAAGCTGAATTCCCTGACCGCTTTCCTGGGGAGAGAGCGGGCCTTCTCGCTGGGAAGGATCTGTGGGTGCAGCTGCATGGATGTGAGAAGGCTGGTGGCTGTGTGTGGAGAGGACAGTCATTCCTGCTCTGAGGCCAGGTCCAATCCTTTTCCTTTCCAGGGGTTGGTGTTTCAGGCTGGGCTGTGAGTTGTGTGGATTTCTGAGCCCTCCCCTGTCCTCCATGATCTGTGCGTGCATTTCAGGCTGCATGTAGCTGCCTTGTGACTCCTGCCCATTGGCTCAGCCAGTGCCCTGAGCAGCTCCTCTGAGCTCCTGGAGATGGAAGGAGGGGGTGGATGGGTCTCACCCAGAGCTTACAGTGCCACAGTGGTTTCTGTCCACTGGGGCCCCTGAGTGGGGATGCAGAAGGCAGGTCAGGAGAGGCTGTCCAGAGGACAGCATGTGTCTGAGGACCAGGGAGGATGTAGCTAGACAAGGGGTGGAAAGATAGTGCTGCAGGTGAGAAACCACAGGGTGCTGGTGGAGGGGCATCTGACAGGATCAAGGCACCCTGAGACTGCATCCAGGTGGTAACCTGTGTGAGTGTGCGGGCTTGAAACCCAGGATCCCCGGGAGCTGGCCTCGGGACTGGCAGAGAAGCCCAGATATGACTGACTTTATGTCAAGCCAAGGTTTTGTGCCTTTGGCTACTGCAGAGACAGTGGGAAGTGCAGTGTGACCAGTCAGAGTCTGCTCTGTATTGTGTCATTGCTCTGGTTAATGTGCAAAGGGATGTCCGGTCAAAGCACATGTAAACGCGGAGGGAGTGCAAACTTCAGCTGAGAAAACTTGACTTGCTGACACTATTTCTGGACAGTAGCTTCTCATGGGCAGCCCTTTGTATTATGACTGCAGCCTGCAGAGCATCACTTATTTATGCCATTATGCTCTGAGGCCAGGTCCAGTCCCTTCTCATAAAAGTCCTTGGGTCCTGTCTCTACGAGAATGCCCAACAGGCTTGTTAGAAATGCAACTTCCCAGGCACTCCCTCCCCACCCTAGGCTGCTGGTTTCTCCACCGTAGCTCTGTTAACATGCAGAAGGTTGAGAAGCGGCCCTCTGTCTCCATGTCCTGAGCCCATTGTGTCTTCTCAAGGATGTCAGACTGGATTTAGGAAAATCCTCCTGAGACACCCAGTGGGACGGGCAAGAGCACTGCTGATCCAGAGGCCTGGGCCCTGCCTGTGGCCAGGGCCAGTGGGCGGGGTCAGTGGAGCATCCCTTGGCTGTGGTCTGATTCGTTGGGGTGGGAGAAGAAAGCTCTCCTTGATCACACAGACCTCCTTGGGGCTGGCATAGGCTGGCTGGAGACACCGCCTCCCACAGGTGGGAAGGGCCTGATGCACCCTGGAGGGACACGAGGGTAACACTGCTCAGTTTTCTGTTGGTAGGAGCTTGTACTTCACTTTTGCTGATGGGCATTGGCCTCCAACACAGAGTGTGCAGCTGGGTTAAGGCAGGTGCCACAAGGAGCCGGGGCTGCAGGGGGCAGCGAATGACCACAGGGTCCAAGGCTGGTGGGACTAGAGAAGAGGAGGGGATGGGAACACACAGTCCAGAGAGCAATGCTTCTGGTGGTGGAAACACAGAGAATAGTTATCAGAGGAGGTAGGTCAGCAAATTGAAGAAGAAAGCTTTCTAGAAGGGCAAAGGGAGGAAGCAGGGGGCGTGAGTGGTGAATTGTGGAAAGCACTGTCACCACCTTTCCAACCACAGGGGCCGGTGAGTGACATGCGCTGAGGCAAGCAGACCTCCCTCCGTCCACACGCCCCTTCTGGCCCTGACCCTGTGGCCCTCATCGGGGCCAGAGCTCCTATCCTCTGGTTCTTTCTCTCTCTGCCTCACAGCCTGCTGATCTTAGTCATGCAATTGCCTTTTGCTTTCTTATGCTTTGTGATGACTTAAATGCAGTCTTACACCTTTCAGTGTCTTTGTCTCGGCCGATGGAAGCAGTAGCGTTTGTGCCTGCAATAGCTGGGGTGACTTTGCCCTGAGTCTTTTGGGCTCTGTTTGGATTTGAGTGTGATGTCTTGGTGTCTTTCCATTGTCTTCTGGGAAAACAGGTAGTTAGGGAGTGCTCTCATGCTTATCTTGGAATGACTGTAATTTTTGTCCCTTCCCTTTCCTCTGATTCTCACTTCATTTCCCCAACTCACTGGGGTTATTGGTCAACCCCCTTAACCCTGGGCTTCATGATTTGTGTTTTCAGAAGAGCCTGAAATGACACCCAACCAAGCTCTCCTTTGGTTTCCTGTTCGTTTATCTTCTCTCCCCTCTCCTTCCCTCCCTTCCCTCCCTTTCCTGGAGAGCTGCATCTCTTCCTAGCCAGCGCCAGAAACACCTTTCCCTTTGGGAAGCGTAGCATCTTTGTCTTACTCAGAGTGGAAGATTTGCAAAAGCAGAGACACAAGGACAAGACCCGAGGGTCAGGAACAAGCCAGGATAATGCAAGTCCTCTTTGAGCCGGGCCATCCCTCTGGGGCACGAGGGGAGTGGGGTAGGCACTGGAAGAATAGCATCTGGACAAGGTTTCTGGAAATCATTTTTCTTTGATGCCTGTCATGTGTCATATGGGCTTATTATGGGGTCAAATTCTAGAAAAAGAACCTTTCTTTCCCTAAAACTTTGGCTGCCCTCAGAAGGTAGACTTGGTCATGGGGCAGTTTTTATTTTACTTGTTGACATGAGCCATATGTTCTTTATGCACAATTCCATCTTTAGCTCCCAACATCCCATTACTTTTCACATCTCCATTTCACAGATGAGGAAACTGAGGCTCCAGGACCTGATAGCTTGCCTGCGGTCTCCCTGTGGCTGTGCCATAGCTTAAGCCCCGAGCCATCCTGCCCTCACTCTGTGTTTGTAGTTATTCTTGTACCTGCCACCCCTGCCCACAAGAGGGATAGGCTTCATTAAAAAAAAAAAATGTAAATTTTATTTAGTTCAAGGTATTTTCTAATTTCCCTTGTGATTTCTTCTTTGACCTGTTGGTCATTTAAGACTGTCTTGTCTCATTTTCATGTATTTG